CATCCTCTCAGCATGTATGGTGAGATGTCAGCCATTTCTCCATGCTGCCATCACTTCCAGCTCTTTCATGCCCAATTTCCATGTGCTTTCAGGCCTGCAGCTGAAACACCAAGGATCCAATGTGGACTCAGTGACCTGTTTCCACTACAAATACAGAATCACTTCTTAAATTAGTACCTTTCCTTCAGAAGATATCCCACTCCCTTTCTTAACCTTCTGTTTGAAATTTTGCTGTCTTCTGAAGCAGTTTGTGTGTGTGTATGAGTGAATGCTTGTGTGTAACCGTGGTGTTCAACTTTGTCTCCTGACTGTTTCTCAAAATAACTTGCAAAGTCTTTTCCACCTGTGAGTTAATACAAACCATGCAGAGATTTTGTTAGTCTGTAGCTTCTCTCCCATCCCTCCCCCTTTCTACCTTGGGAGCGGACCAGAAATCATGCAAGTGTGTGATGAGAGGAAACCTCCTCAGATGTTCTCCTCCTCAGCCTCCCGTGGTAAACAAGGCTTTAATCTCCCTTCACCTCCATCCTTTCAGCATGCCAGAAATCAATAAAAAAGGTCACAGATTTTTGTTTTTAAAAGCTTCAGAACTCCTTTTTTTTTCTTCTGTTTGTTGGCTCTTCCCTGTTAGGTGTCTGATTCAATGATTTCCAAATCATTGTATCAGTGACACAGCCAAATGAATACTACTAAATCTTTATTATTTGCCACATCATGAGTCTGACAAAGGAGACTTCTATGGATTACTTTTGATTTCTTGACAGCTGTATTTTCCAAAACACCTTAGTTTTGCCTTGGATTTGGCACTGAGAAGAGCAGTCTGTCTATAAGCACTTCAGCCTGGAGAATTCCAGTGGAAATAGTCAATGCATAAATATTTAGCCAGAATAATCCACTTTCAAAGAGCAACAGTAGGTTTGATTCCATTATTGATTCTGACTCCCTCCTTCAGAGGCTGTACTTCTCCCTTGTTTCTTGGAGTTTTTTGCTTTCAGCTGTTACTAATGGTCTGTAACTTTTAGAGGCACCTACAGGACAGGTTCCTTCAAGCATCATTTGTGCTAATAAAGACCAGTTCTTAGTGCTGGAGCTCTTCTGCATCAATAACCTGGCAGGATCAGAGACTGTACTCCTCCAGACCAGGGTCCTTGCCTTCAAAAAATTAGAAGGACAATTATCTTTCATCAATAGTTATCAATAATAACTACTGATATGTCATTAAGCAATTAATTTGTGAATCCATTTGTTAACGAGGTAATATTTAAAGATGTAATTCGTTGAAGAGACAGCAAGAGGAATGAGTGGAGAGTGCAAAACACAACTTTATGTGAGAAGCTGGCATGGGAACCAGGGTTTCCATGAGTGCAGGGAGGTAACAAATACAAGTATGTGCAGGGTGAGTAAAGTGAATGGAGTGGAGACTTTTCTGTGGGGATGGCTATGGAAAAGTTCACACCTATCAATAAAGCACAAAGAGCAATGCACAGGGCTTGGCTAATTCATCCCACGCTACATCCTTTAGTCATGCCAGTAATCTGAATCTCTCCATTGCTTTTCATCTGTGGCTGCTATCAGTTTTTTACACCAAAACCAGTGCCCCATGCCTAACATGATTTCTACACCTCTTCTGTCCTCTGGGCTCTTTCAGTTGTTTTCACTGCAGACCCCCATGTAGCACAGAGCTGGTACAACCCTCATTCACTGGAGTACTTCTTTGAAAAAACAGCTCAGCCCTGATCCACCTTAGCTAACTCTTAGCACAGTGAGGTCCCCAGAAGTCACCAGGGTGGCCATGGGCCAGGTTCCTGTGCCATGTCTCCTGCCTGCTGCATGGTCGTGGTTGGAAGACACGCATAGCTGGAGCAGAATGCTGCCCAAAGAGGTGCTGTTGGCAACAGCACCACAGCTGTGGGAGAAACCTCGTGTTGGAAGAGTCTGGGGGTTTGCTTTGGGTGGGGAATGTTGCATCAGGATACAAATTAGAGTAACCATAACTCTTGTCCATGCCAGAGCCTTGGCCTGGTGGCTAAAGAGTCAGTCCACTCGTTCCCACTCAGATAGGAAGCAGGCTTCCACAGCTTACTCACCCTCTCCCCTGGGACCTGAGGGACTTGCTTTGGTTGTTCATCTCCCCACGCAGTTCTGGGAAGAAGCTAGATGAGCTTTTCCTTTGGGGTGAAGGGAAAAAAAACACCTTTCTTATTTAGTCTTAATCCTTTCTTCAGTCTGTGCAGAAAGAACCCAATATCTGGTTTGCTCTTTGTGTCAGACACAAATGTGTTTTGTTACACATGTGAATATTTATGCTTACAAGTATTTTGTAACTTTAAGTGTGGGGTTTTTTTATGTGTTGTCCTTTTTTTTATCATTCTTCTCCCTCACTAGTGTAACACCACCACTTCCTAAACCCTGTCCTTTTCCTAGGCACTGACCACATCATCTCTGGGTGCTACTCCACTAATAAAACAAACAAAGCCACGTGGATTATGGGATCTTTTATAGAGCTGCATGGAACTCATCTGGCTCAGCTGGCAGGGGTCATGTAAACCTTCTCCATCCGTTGGAGTCTGTGTGGTTTCACACCCAACAAATGTCAAAGCAGAACCCAGCCACAACTGCCGAGTGTCGTCTGCGTTTGGGCTAAGCCATAAAAGAACCCACCAAATTCCACATCAGTCATTTCAGAGCTGCAAGAAACCACCCAGGTTCAGCGATGAGGTCAAGAATCTGATGAACGTTTTGGCAGATATAGCCTGAAGAGTGGCTCAGGAAAATCCTGGGTTTTTTCAAACCTTCTGGTGTCTGAGCAACCTGAGCTCCATCCTGACGCCGAGCAATTTTTGTTCCCTGTAGCTGTAGTTTTGTATAGAAACACTCAGAATGAGTAGTAGTCCTCTGCAGGCATTTGGACTGTGCTCACTTGCAAGATTTCTGAGGATGAAAGGAGTCTCTCTGGTGAAGATTGTTACTTGTGAGCACAAGGACAGAAGGGATGAGTTGCCACAAGGTTCCCCTCTTGAAAAGGAGAGCAGAAGTGGTGAAAGCCTTTTTGCCAGGAGGCTTAGTGATCACATCAGCTCTGGTACAACCCTCCACAACATGCTTCTTCAGGGAGATGTGATCTCACAGAAGCTAAGAGGACTTACTTGCCTAAGGGTCAGAACATGCCTGCAAGCTTTAGCAGATCAAGGCAACAAAACATGATGAAGTACAATGGCAGCACGCTTGGCAGCTGCATATTTTCTGGCAGCAACATCATTTTGGACATCAACTTAAGCCAAACAAACACAAGACCAACCAAGGAGGGTGAGAACCTGTTCTTCTAATAGTCAGAATAAGTGGTGAGATGTTTTTCTGGTTCATTTTAAGTTGAAGGTAAAAAGTCAAGTGTTAGATTACTTCATGTATATGGTTTCTTGAGAATGTTTAATGCATTCCACTTACATTCTTTTTAAGAAACAGAAGTTAGGCAAGAAGTATGATCTAAACAGAACTAGAAATCTTAGCACAAATATGGGAGGAGACACTAATGGGTAAATTCCTCACCACCATCTTTTCAGCATCAAAATCAAATTCTTCCAGGCTTCTTTTCTGAAGTTCAAAAAGTTCAGACTTGCTATTGAGTTGGTTTACTACTTCTTTTTATTATTTTAGCCTTTCCCCTTCTGTGATTTGGCACAGAGTGTTCACAGAACATGACAGATTCTCTGCAGGTGTAAGCCAGTTCCCCTGATGCTAATGGATTTCTTCAATTACAGCCCTTTACAGGTGGGCCACTGTGCCCCTATAAAGCCCAGACCTCAGACAGACTCTCAGACTTGCCTGTTCTTTGAAATATTATTCAGTTCAAACACGGACTCAGGTAGACCTCAGCTTTTGGCATTCATTTCAAAAGGGTGGTGGGAAAAAAAACCCAACAACTCTGATCTCCAGTAACAACCAAAGCACCACGTGAGTTGTTTCCTCTTTGCACAGATGGGATGAAATGTAATGCCTTTTTTTGCACAGTTTTAAAGAGATTTTATACCTGACCACAGTCAGTTGTGTTGGAGGCACAAGACTCACCCAAACCATTGAACTGAAGAAAGAGGTCTAACCTGAAGAAGAATCAGACACAAGAACAGGCTGTGGTCTCGCTGAGCAGCTGGATGGTTTCACTCTGAGCACCCCTGGGAGGGCCACACACCACAAAATGTGATCCCAACACTGAGCAGCAAACAGCATGGAGGAGTGGGCAGCCCTTGGGGTGACATGCAAGGTCAGGGATAGACGAGCTGCTGAGCTGGGTGTGAAGGAAAATAATCATCTCAGTGCTGGTAAAAATGTGTATGATCTTCCCTCTGCAATGCTATCAGACATAGGGTAGATGGAATGTGATCAGTTCAGCTTCTGCCAGCTACAGCTTCTCAGGCTAAAGTCTTCTACTCTTTCCTTGGAATGGGTCTCCTGCCTCAGATCACTTGCAGTATTTTTTTACAGTCCAACACTGCAGTGGACGTGCACCACTGCAGTGTGTTGGAGGGACAGTGCCATCTGCACCGTGCCTCCACCAGCTCATGGGGACTCTCACATGAAGCTTTTGGGAAATCTGCAGAGGGATTTTTCTGAGCTCGTTTTAGTTCCCTTTTGGTTGGCCATAACGAGCATCACAGGGATGACAACCTCTGACAGGATGACAACTGGAAATAGTTTTCCAGAGGGTGTGATGACCGTGTGCAGGGATGGCTCTGCAGGCAGCTGGGTCATTGCTGGCTGTGAAGTTGCACAGGTATGAATGACCTTCTAGAGATCATTAGAGATTCCATGAACTGGCAGAACTCTTGCCAGTTATTTCTCAATAAAAGAAAACAAACAGACCACAGTTGTTCTGGGGGCATCACTGTTGAACTCCAGCAGCCCAGCACCAGAGGGTTACAAACCTTTGCGGGACAGCCATGAGGAAGCTCAAAGAAAACCAGGCCAAACGTATGGCTTCAGCACCGTGTTAGAGACACCCTTACCTACTCGAAGCTCTTGTCCAAAGACTGTTTTCTCTCCCAGAGCAGAGCAGTTCCACCTCCCATACCGAAACTGGTACTGGCACTCATTGATGCCCATCTGTGCCCCTTCCCCGATCACAATGATGGCATCGGGGCGGCTCTGGCAGATCGCTCGCTGCCGAGGGGCCAGGCCTGGGATTTTGTTGCAGATTATATTAGCTCCTAAAGCCACCACAGATGACAAAGCTCTGAAGGGAAAAGGAAAAAAAAGAAAAGAAAAAAAAAAAAGACATGTTATAACCAAAGTGAGGCCATGAATGGTTTTTACCACGTGCTGCCATGTGGCAAGCGAGGCGCTGGGCAAAAGGGGAAGGGTTAGAAGCTGGGTGCCTAAAATTATGTCAATTTATCCCAACCTCTCTGGTTTGGCAGAAGAGGTTTGAAATCTTGCAGTAATTCCTGATCTGATTTGTGCCAGAAACAACAAAGAAATGGAATTTTGGCACCTTTGCTTTCAGAGCCATCGACTGACGAGATGTGGAAAGCAAAACATATTAAAAGTGAACAGCAGTGATAACTGATAGACCACAAATCTCTGAAACTCACGTCTGCTTTGAACGGCCTCCACAGATCCAGACTCAGCATTTTAGTTGCTGCAGCCAGTTCATCCATCCCTCACTGGGAACTGTTCAACACAGTTTAGAGGATGACTCGACACTACCAACCTACTTTGCCCATCGCCACGCTCAGGGTGTTGAGTGACTAATGAGTGTTCATCATCTTAAAGGTCTCTTCCAACCTAAAGGATTCTATGATTCTATGATAGTTATGCTTTTAGATCTGGCAAACATCATGGAGCACATAGGAGTGATCCTTAATATGTGCCATCCACCCTGGAAACTATTCCAGTTTTCATTCTTCAAGTATATTTCCAGAATTCATTATAAAGTTTTCATATAACTTGTACCTGCCATATGTTTTCACTTTAGTGCATTCATTTTTCACCTCACTTTTCCACATCTTTACAGCCTCAGTTTTACATCTTTACAGGCTCACATTTTAAGTGGTAGTATTTTGAAATAAAACAAGACAATACAGGTAGACATTCAGTGATGCCTCAGCTCTCCTCTACCCAGGACCAACCAGCCCCACGCCAGGATGCTTCCACTGTCTCTGAAAAGGTCAGCAAGAGGGAAGAGAGCAGTGCAGCTGAGTTGGCACAACATTGCCCTGCTCAGCACAGGGGATGGACCCTGAGATACCCACACAGCCAAAGCTGGAAAATCCTTCCTTCTTAGTGTGAAAAATCTCCCACTCCTTTCAGAAAATGCTGACTAAGCAAAACTGAAAAATTTTATAGTTTATCAACTTGACTGCAAAAGCAACTGGAAAATTCCATAGCAGGTTTTGAGCTGAAGGTTTGTTTCTGGCCCACCTCGACTTCAACAACTGAATAAAATATTTCAGTTGTGATGTCTTTAAATCAGAGCTTTCCAAGAGTTACAATAATCTTTAAAAAAAAAAAACACATTATGAGTTTGATGCAGAGATAATATGATTCTCTGACCTTTACACTTTATAGATTAACTTATGGCTTTAAAAGATTATGAAAATAAAACTGCTTATGAGAAATTATGAAAAATAAGAAGTTTATGAAAATCACAGGAGGAAGTATCAATATTAAAAAAAAAAATAATCAAAAATCACACAGTTTCCAACACTGAAAATTAAAAATGTTCTTTTCTTTCCTAGCTCATGGAGCTTTTGTCTCTCTGGCTCCTGTGACTTCCAGCATCAGGTAGGATTCCCATTCTGAAAACGCTGCAGTAAAATAAAAAGCATTTTCCCTTTATAGCTGATGTGTTGTATTCAGAAGCATACACTTTGGTGATGCTAAAATGTCAGGACCCTTTCCCAAATCGTGTTAGGATCCAGGTCTGACCCTTCAAAGTTTCCATGAACTATTATCTCCAGTGGAGAAGCAAAAACCTATGACTTCTAAAACAAAGGGAAGTTTGTTACAGTATCTACCCCACGAATGATTTTCAGTTCAGTTGCTTTCTCCATACACATTGCTCCTGTCACACAATTAGGTTGAAGAGTGTTTTCTTTGGTCACCCATTGTGTTTTGGAGCAGGACTCAAAGGATTTAAACACAGTGGCTCATTTTATTCACCCAGAAAAGAAGCAGGATCATGTCTGCCTCAGAAGGTGTTGTGAGGATATCGTAATTATTATGTGTTTGGAAAGTGCTTTAAGACATTCCTCATTCAAAAAATCAAATTGCAATTATCAGAAGTGGACGAGGTCTTTTTTTTTTTAATTTATTTTATGTTTATTTTTACTTTCAGGGGACTTCCCCATCTCTGGCTCGAGCTTAGGAGCATATTCACTCAGCCTTGGTTTAGCCTCCTTTGAAACTGGGACTAGAAATTCGGTGCCAAACGAAATGCTGAATCATGAAACTGAGGTTTTGGAAAACCTTCTTTCTATTAAAGAAATGCACCCAACAGCATTTCAAGCTTCCTCTCCACTGTTTCTTGCGGCGTCCCTCAGCTTGTGCACCCATCACACATTCAGGAGGGCTGTGCCACGCTCTGCTCCTTGGCACACTGAAGGCTGCATATTTTTTTTTACTAGAGGGAGAATATTTCACTCTATAACTGTCAAAAGGCAGAACCCCATGCCACATTTTGGCATCTTCTCCCATCTCATCTTTCGCTGCAGTGTGAACTTCCTTGATTCTTATCAGGAGGAAATCCTGAGCACAGTTTCTTGTTAAGATTCCTGGTGTTGTTTACAGTCCTTGTAACCATCCTGCAGCACAACAGCCCAGGCAGGCCTCAGAGTTTTGTGTTGGGTCAGCCACACACAGGTTATCCAGCTAAAGAGAGTTATGGACTAATGCCACCTTTCCTAAGCAACTATGGGCAGTGGCTAGTGCGTGGAGAGTCTTCACTTTTCTTCATCACTTAGTCATTAATACAAGGGAAACAGCAGAAATGAAATGAAGCAGTAAAGAGAATTGGTTTAAATTTAAAAAAAAATAGTAATGAATACACACAGAAGGAAAAAAAAACCAAACAAACCAAAAGACACTGATCTGGGCTTGCAGAGGACAGCTACAGCTGTGTACAGGTTTCTCCAAGGAGCTTAAAATTCAGTTCCAACAAACACATAACACAAAAAGATGTAAACAGAGAGATTAAACCAACAATGCCTTTCATACAGATAAAGCACTTAAGTTGATTTTAACCTTTTGGATATAAAAAAAAAAAGAATAAATCTTCCTAAATACTCTTCTCCAGCCCTCCCTGCTCCCTGGAGAGGTGACAGTTTAGCTGATAGCTGTACTGAAAACCCACCCTGATGTCCCTGACAAAAACCCCCCTAATGGATTCCTTGTTAGAAGGAGCCACTGACATTTGGGGGGGATGCTGCAGCTCCTCTGAAGCACCACACTGCTCCTGAAGAGTTGCCTTCATTAAGAATTCCTAAGTAAATATTTTGAGCCTGCCCCAGTTGCAGAATTTGGCAGGAGCATCCCCCTTTCTCGAGGCCAGCTGCCTGTGCTCAAGCTTGCAGTTTTGTTTTCCATCCCTAGCTTTGGGAAATCTTCTTCAGCACGTGTGATGTTGAAATGGAAATCCAACAGGATTGTGTTGTGCTGTCTCTGCTGGAGCTTCAAGGCAAAGCTTTGGACCTGGGAGTCATGGGCAGTAACGTGTTTCTTCTATGAAATCAAAGGCAGAGATATCTCAGAGGAGGTCACCCCCCAAATAAAAGAGCCTGCTCTAGTGTGATTGCTAGAATGGCCAAGAACAAAAGTAATGGGGCAGGTTAGCTGGAGGGATCACTCACACAAGGGCAGCCTTGAGCTGGATGCCTGCTTTAGGGAAGAAGGACCCCATCCACATATGCAGCAGTGTTGGGGGAACAGCAGCAGAACCTTGGACTCACACCCTCACCCACCTGCTAGCTGGGAGGCACAGGGTGGTGCTGTGAAGCCCACAGCAAATGACATGGCTCCAGGAGGAAGGAAGGGAGATGTTTCCTAGCAAAGAGATGTCCTCAGGATGGTGGATGATGAGACAACATGGAGGTGGTAAGAGCCCCACTACTCAACAGAGCACCTTCCTCTGCAAGAAGGGATTATAGCTTGCACGGGTCCTTTAGGTGCTGTGCAAAACCATAGGATTAGCAGTGGTCCTGAGCCCAAAATGTACAACAGCTAGGGAGTGGTGATAGTTTGGTGTCCTAATGAAAGAAGCTCCAAGCCAGGAACCTCATCTAAACAGCATCATGGCAGCAGGGTAGGAGGACAGGGAGCCCAGCTAGTCCCAGATCCCACCAGTGCTTGGTACTGGCCTTCTCCTAAGTTTTACTGGTAGTGCCAGAGACAGCAAAAGCATCTAAGATTCAGGAGTATTTCTGGCATGAGATCTCCTGAGAAATACCCTCCAAATGACAATCCAATCTGACTGTGAGTTGACCCCTAGCTTATTTGGTTCATACTGTAATAATTTCTATCAGGCAGTGAGGCAACACTTGGTACATGACAGGACATCTGGATGACCTGTTACTTCTCTATTTACCTGCATTCAAGTCTTTCTACCCCAGGGGAAAGCTCTTGGAAAAGAGAAATGCATTATCCTAGGGACATCTTGTTACATGGTTCTGTGTTTAATGGCTCTATAAACACATTTAAGAGGATCCACCTCAGTTCTGCAAGCATCCACACACCTCTGTCATGCCCTGCAGAGGACAAAGCAGATTCCACCCTCAGCAACAAAAATGTTCCTTCCTGAATGCCAAGGTGCCTGCTGAGCACTTGCAGTTGGTGCTGAGAGCCAGCACTATCTGCCTCCCACCCTGTTTCTGCTTTTCTCACTAGAATAATGCTGCTATCTAACAGAAAGCTACAGAGCTCTTTGCTGCACAGCAATCCAGCACAGTGGAGAGCAAAATCACCTTGCAGAATAACTAAGGTGGGACATTGCAGAGGGAATAGGACCTTGAAATACCCAGATGGCTGCAGAAAAGCCACATATTTTCTCTGTTTTCTCTCTATTTTTTCCTGTATTTCTACACAAAATCAATTCGATATCATGGCAAAATAAAAACGCCACATTTCAAGATGTAAAATGATACTTTTTTATGTTTTTAATATAGCAAATAAGAAGCTCTCTCCATTGCATATGGCATATACAGAGATAAAGGGTGTTTTCAAAACTTTATCAATTCAAAG